AAGAATTTTTCAGATTTAATATTTTCAACGAAAAATTTATCATCCATTTTAGTTTAAAAAAAATATATATATTTATCAAATAAATAAAAAAATTTCTATGCACCGAGAAGAAGATTTTATTCCCAAAAGATTTTTGATCCGGGTAAAATATTTTTTAAAAATAATTTTAAAATTTTTATACTTAAAAAAATTGAATTTAAAAAAAGGGAGGGGGAGGGGGGGGGGCGGTGTGAAATTAATATTTTAAATTTTTGATGAAAGCGCGAAATAAATTAAGGGTCTCGTTTATAGTAAATCCGCATTACTCAAGTGACGCGATACGCATCGGTTCTCATTCTAAATCGCTAAAACAAAAATCGCTAAAAATTGGGAACCTGGCTTATATCTCCTAGAAAATTTTTAAAGTAAATTTGAAATTAATATTAATAGATACTAGGAGATTAAATACTTGTATTTAAGTTGAAAATTTAAAAAAAATTTGCTAAAATGGAAGAAATATCATCCAGATTCCCAATTTGATTCCCAAAACTGGGATTTTGGATGATATTTCTTCCATTTTAGCTAATTTTTAAAAATTTTTAATTTAAATACAAGTATTTAATCTCCTAGTATCTATTAATATTAATTTCAAATTTACTTTAAAAATTTTCTAGGAGATATAAGCCAGGTTCCCAATTTTTCGCGATTTTTGTTTTAGCGATTTAGAACTTATCCATACGCATCTTAGGGTATTCAAAAGCGAGCAAATAGGTAAAATTTATAATCTATAGCGATGTAATTAATTTTCATAGCATCGCGCAGTCATAATGCCTATTATTTACTTGCTTTATAAAAAAATACTTAGCGACGCGTATCGCATCACTTGAGCGACAAGCTTATCGATGTAGAAATCTTTTTTTGGCCTCGGCCTAGAGCTGAATTAATCGATTTTTAGTTAGTCCATACATGCACCCAACTAAAATAAAACGTTGGATGGATGATCAATCATTATTACCAAGTAGGATTCTTTTGTTGCTATTTCAATCAAAATTAATAATGAAAAATATTTTGGATTGTAAAAAATAATCATCTATCCTTTTTTTAAAGCAAATTTCATTATTCGAGTCCACAGGTCGATTTTTAAATTAGATTCTCAATGTTGGGCCGGGTTCGACCCGGCTTATTAATAAAATAATTTGTCACGAGTAAACAATAACTTTCGGTAATGGTTTATGCTTCAATTTTAGCAGATACAAATAGTCGAACAGATACTCTGTTAGCATTTATGAAATTTGACTTGTCTCCAAAATTTAATGCTTAAAACTCGGTTCTGGCACACATTTTTAACGTGTCGCCATTGAAACGGTCTATGTAATTCTTGAAGATAAAGAAGCCAAACCTTGCGCCTTTTTTTTACGCATATCTTTTAACGCTAGAAACTTTTTCTCCGTATTAAACGCAAACGTAAAATAAATATGGCCGGACAGCCTTTTATTGATTCTTGTAAAATTGTCAAGCAAAGCAAAGGGAATTGATTTAAATAAAATTCAAATAAGAATGGGATTTTCGGATTCGGTTGAATGTGGTGACGCAGCAACAGTTGGGGTTGCGCCGGAACGGGCTCCCTTAAAGATGAGAAGAGCCATCATTTTTTAAGAAAAACAAGGGGCCTCACGAAAAAAAGGGCAAGGGGAATGCGGCATCGTTGCTTCTTAATACTTTAAAGATAAAATAAGGTAAAACTATTTTTTTTTAACCTTCTATATATCACATTTTTTTTCTTCAAATTATTCTTATATATTATTTAGAAAATAAAAATTAAATTAATTCTTCATTTCGTTCTTTTTATTCTATCCATAAATTTTCTTACCTGCTGATGTGAAAAATTATTTTTTTTTTTATTTGTTTCTCTTTTTAAAGGTGTATATAAATAAAGAATATAAAAAAATTTTTTTTTTGGTATTAATATAGTTAGTAATAATTATGCACATAACCAAAGGTATCTATATAATTCTGTATTTAAATATATGGATAAGGAAAAGGATAAAACAAATTCGGTAGATTATAAATTATTCATTTCGAATGTTATCGTCCATATTGATGAAACTCTTAATCAAAAATACCGCTACAATTTTAAACGAAGCGTTTTAATAAACGCTGCCGCAATTTATAAGCACTTAAAAACAAATTATCATTCCCCCGATCTCGTTATTTCTAGCCGAAATCTATTCAATACCTTGTCCGTTTTTTTTAAAAAAAGATTACTTCCTTCCTGTAAATGTGATACCAAATTTTCTTTTTTTTCCCTATTTATTTTATAATAAAGGGACTTAATTATAATAATTTATCTTTTATCGGAAAAACTCTTTTATGCATTAAATGACTGAGGTTTTGAACTATCACCGTTTTAATTTTTTTAGTGAGTTTTATAGATTAAATCTAGAAGAGATTGAACGGGAAGATTCGCCAGGGGAAGAATCAAAGGAATGGACTTAAAATAAAAGTATTGATTTTTTTTTGTTTGTTTGAACCATGATGCGATTTGAGATAGTAGTCTTTTTTTTTCACTTCTTATAAGTTGAAAAAAAATATTTTTTCGGCTTTTTTTTTTTAAAAATAATATAATATATTTTTTGATTTTTACAAAAGAAAAAATTGCAAAAAATAAATAATTAAAGTAAAATTATATTATATTATATTTATAAGTGGTAAAAAAAAGAAGAAATAAAGAAAAGGAATAATAAATAAAGAGAAGAAAGAATAAATAAAAAGAGGAGAAAAATTAAAGAATTGGAATAAATTTTCCAAAAAAAAAATGGACGAGTCCGCCATTATTATATATTTCTTTTTTTTTTACCTTTTACATTTTTTTTATATAATAATAATTTTTTTTTTCGCATCCTTTTTTCTCTAAGCACGAGCATGTGTGTTGACTCAAATTTTTTTTTTTGATATTATTTACCTATTATTTTTTTGCACCTTTTTTTCAGAAAAAAATATTTTAATAAAATTATTTTTATTTCAGATATAAAAATTTTTTCTTTCTCCTATATTGCCTATTTTTTTAGCCTACCCTTGCGCATGCGCCGATTTAAAAAGATTTTTTTCTTAAAATGAAAGGCATACCCTGAATTACAATTAAAATTTAGCCAGCTCCAATTGTGGTCAAACTAAAAAATGTTTTTTTTAAACTTTATTCCTGATTTAAGATGTTTCCTTAAACTGAGAATCTTAACACCCACAGCTGTCGCAGCACCGTTGAAGTAAGTATATATTTCTTTACAGATTATTCTCCCTGGTTCAATCGAATCCGCAAATCTCACCCATTCTGATTTGACTGAAAATGTTTTCAATAGCATGTATATTTAACACCACTACGAATTTCGAACCGTTTTGCCGCGACTTTTAGTAAACTACTCTTAATTTATATTGATTTTTTTAAAATTATATAAATTAAAAATCAACAAAAATTTATGGCTAAAATTGTCTGAAATTTAAAAGGATAGTTACTATGCATCCTAGAATACATTATCGGTTAATTAGGATTTTAAAAAAAATTCAAGCTGGTAACTTAATGAGGCAAACGAAATCTGCCATGTATATTAATTTAATTAATCCACCACCCGGGTCCCACTTATTGATTATCCGAAAACGACTACAAATGAGTCATACGAAGAGTGTGATAGAAACTTAACACCTCCCAAAGTTGACCTAATGAGCGCAGATCAAGCAAGCTTTGGCTTCATTTTTGACCTGCCAAACTTGGTTTTTCTTTTAGCAAAAAACGATGTTCAGCCTTGAATTTATTTTTGTAAACATAGAGCTCTAGCTTCGAAGAACGCAGAACGCCTCAAATTGTAGGATTTTCTATGACACGCGTCTATAGACCGAGCGGAGACGAATAAACCCATTTTTAGTCAGCGCAAGCCCCACCCCTAGAATTTGATATTTTTTGCAAGGAAAAATCTTATTATTTTTTTCCTTCCACCAATAAAAACACTCATTCACTAACAACTTTTTTTTTAAAATATAATAATAATAATAAAAAAAATTTGAACTTTTCTTTAAAAAATATTTGGAAAAAAAAATAATTAGAATTTAAAAAAAAAAATGGAAGAAAAAATACTAAAAATAATTCTTGTTCTACGAAAAGGATAAAAAAAAATTCCTTACCTTTTTTTTCTATTTTGAAAATGTAAATGCTTGCTTTAAAAAAAAATAATCTCTTTTTTTATTTAAAAAAAGGGGAATTTTCCTCGGGAAATAAAAAGAATTCGGAAAAGAGCGAAAAATTTTATTTTTAGATTAAGTCCAGAATCAAATTTTTAAAAAAAGAATTCGAAATGTCACGTGATGAATTTAAAAAAAATTATATTCTTGGATTTTGAATTCCATCTTTTCAAATGTCTTCTTTTTTTTCCGATATCGTCCTTTTTTTAAAAAATGTAATAATTTTAAATTATTTATTTATTATTCGATTTTTCAAAAAATAAAAAAAACTAATAATTTTTATTGCCTTTTTCCCTTTTTTTTTTCTTTCTTCTTTTATACCTTTATATTTTATTTTATTTTTTTTAAAAAAAAAATTAATATTTAATTATTTTATTATTAAAAATATTTATTTTCCCATTTTTTTTTCAACTATTCCAAAAATTATTTATAAAAAGTAAAATTACCCAAAAAAATAAATAAGAAGAATAAAAACAAAAATTGATTGGTTCTCGTATATTTTTATATGATGGTTTTAGTTATTTGTTTACCATAATTTGTAACTTAAAAAAAAATACCTTTAAAATTTTATAAAAATGAAATTATGTTTTTGATAAATTATAAAAATAATTATTATTTATTATAATTTTTTTTTTTTTGAAAAAATAAAATAAAATATATTAAACATTTATAGCCAGCATTCGCCAGTATGATAAAATATAATTATAAATTATTCAAAATAAAAATAAAATTTATCACTTAATTATTCTCCTATTTATTTTTTTTTACCGTTATCATTATTTTTTTTTTGAAAAAAAATATATATAGAAGCAATATCTAAAATTGTGATAATTGTGATACAAGATCCAAGCATTCCTTCCGGAACATTCCATCTTTCCAATACTTTTGTGAGCGAAAAACTATAACATTCCATTTATTTTACATTCGTACATTCCATAATGATCCCCATTCCTCGCTATCCTAATAAGCGGATATTTCTTATCCGAAATTTTAATATAACAAAAAACGGCATAATATATAGCATTTTCAAAAAAATTCGCTCATAATTTTATCATTTTTATCCCGAACCCGCTGGCAAACAAAGCAAAAAATGTCTAAAAGGAAATCCACCTTTCAAAGGCCAATCAAAAGTAATAAAATAAAATATGTAACTATTATTTTAATAAATAAAGAAACGGTTAAATATTGTTATTTTTTTTAAATATTTCTGAGCTGTACACTATAACCCGCCCACGCTCGGCACTTCTATAAGCGGGCAGGTTAAAATGTTTTTAACGTTGGGCCTACGGACGAGCGATTTAATTTATTTTAAAACAATGGGCGGGCGAGATTAAAAGTGCTTATTTCAGGCTTCTACTGTGTGCTGCATTTGAAAAGGGAGACTTATCTAAAATGATCACATTCGAAATTTCTCAAATTTCAATAATTCTAAATGAGTTATACCTTTTTTTTAAATTTTAAAAATTTCGGGACTGGGTTTATAATAAGGCAAAATTGTCCGATTTAATAGTGAGAGATTCTGAATCCTCAGGTGAAAATTCCGGACAAATTATTGCTCCATTTGTCATTAGTGATTTTAAGAATTCGGAAAATCTGATTTGGCAAGAAAATTATTCCAGCCAAGTTTACAGCGAACTTTTGAAATACCCTATATTTGTAGTTAAGTTTTATATTTATTTATTTATTTCATATAAATTTAAAAGAAAAATCACCTAATTTTCATTGCAAAAATTGTCTGAAATTTATATCTGCTGGAATTATATTCGATCTAATCCAATTTTTTTTGACATATTTAAAAATGGCGCATCCCTGTTGATTCCATATCTCGTAATGTGGAATAATATTTTAAAAAATTAATTTGCCCGTGTTAATAATAAAACGAATATAAGGGAGGAGACAAAAAATCGGAAAAGATTTATCATGTAATTTGAATAATATTTTTATTTTTTTAAATATAAATCAGTGGAGGCCAAAGATGACAAAGACTTTCTTAAAGGTGCTGCTAAGCTAATTAATGGTCTCAAAATTTACGATAAAACTAGCAAATTGAACGGGAAACATTTGTATTCCCCATCTGCCAAAGATGGTTTTATATTCCAACTCAAGAATTCCTCTTTGATAGTGTCGCCGGATGATAATCAAAATGGCCCAATCGTGGATTCCAATCCTGACGATATGCCCGAGAACGGGCTTGATAACTCACCTGATCACCATCTCGTCAACGGATACGATGACGCGAAACGACAGATCTCTAAAAAAGTAACATTTTAAAGTTTTTTTAAACCTTGTTTCTTGTGTTTTTTAAACCTTGTTTCTTGTGTTTATTTTTTAAAAAAGAAGTATTTAAGTGGGACGTGCAAATTAATGTAATATTTAAGATCTCTTCTATGAACCAGAATTTTATAATAATTATCATATTGTATGGGTAGTTTAAGTGGAAAATATTGTAGATAACAGAGGTATAAGATTTTAGGAATATAAAGGAAGCTTGTGTGAAAAAGGGCGTGATTAGACAGAAGTTTAATTATTTAGGACATGAGACGCTGGAGATCTTGTTATTTGATCATCGATGCGAATATGATTTTAAAAAAGTAAAGGGCGCTTATCGATGATCCTTGGAAAGGAAATCTCTAGGAAAAAAATTTGGTGAGAAGCAAGAGCCCACATTTTACCTGTAAAACTTTGTTAAATTTTTTGACAATATAGGAGAATTTAATTATACCAGATAGAGAACCTCGTATTCCTTCCACCCTTTCATCGAGGTGCTTAATGTTAAGAGTGAGATCACATTGCGCATTTATATCATATATTAATCTTTGAATTCTTTAACAAAAATGCATATTTTTTTTAATCGTATATAAAATTTATGAACGTTAGTAAAAAAAAATAAATTGTTAAACTTCTCTTCAAGTAGCTTGAGGACTGGAGCTGCTTGCTCTAATTTGACATTTTCAAAATTCGATTAATTAAGCCTGCAAATTCGGTCCAAAAATCTTAACGGCCAAGGATAATTTTATTTAAAAATAAACCCCATGCCTGGCCTGTCCTCAGAGAGTCAAATTAAAAAATTAAAATATATGAATTAATCAGTTGGAAAAATATAATGGTGGTTTGGATTGATAATCCTGAAGTTTCAACTTTTTTAGACCCTAAATCCCTATATTATTTTTTTTTACAAGCTAGGGCCTTGTACACTTGTTAGAAATTAGGATGATTAACATTTTTTTTACTGCACTCTTTTTAAAAAAAAATCTATTATTTTCTCACCATCCAATTATTTTCTACATTATTCATTTCTCTTTAATTCACGTATAATCCTAACAAGCGTATATAATACTATACCTCTAGACCAATGATAGACAACCCCTCTTGTAATAATATACTGTGGCGATTCATTAATGAAAAGTGTACATCACAGCAGTCAGCTGTAGCACCATTTTGTTGGTTGCGCGTCGACATTGTCATATTTATTTATATGAATGCACATTAATGTCATTTAATCTACGTGCAAGCCACAAAAAGGCGCTACAGCTGACTCCTATTGACGCCATTGGTTTCTGCACATAAATAATATGAAAACTTATTTATTTATTCATAATAATTCTTATATTGGGAACAAAAATGGTGTCATCAGCTGATTTATTAAACAAAGCCCCAAAATACACGTAAGAAGTATGATATATATTATCGGATTCTACGTCATCCCGTTTGCAAATATTTAAAATTTTTTAATTATTTTTTGTATAAAGAATTTCGCGATCTTGCACAATTTAATGATTACGAAGACGTCAGACGAAACACCCTTTTAAAGATTAGTCATTTAAAATCATATATAAAGTCCAATTAACCCCATTTCTTCCCTAATTTTTTTTAAATGCATCTTAAATTATTAAAAATATTTTATCGAATACCATTTTAATGACCTGGCTTCAGACCGGAATTGCGGGTCTAGGATATGGCGGTTGTTTCTAGCAGTTTCGATGCTTTGTGGCTTGATAAATTGTTTCTGGAATTGATTAGAGGAGGTTTCCGTTTCAAAACTCTGTTAAAAAAATGAAGATTTTTTTTAAAACAAAAATTTATACAATAAATAAAACCCTAAATCGCGCGTCATTTAAAGACATTATTATATGTAAATTGCATGAGGGATATATATAATTCTTGGGATTAAGAATCTATCGATTTAAAATCATTCTCTGCTGGGCGATTTACAAGTTTGAGAAATTTGACCTGACCGGAAAAGTATTCCCGTATGAATAGAGGTTACCCAGACCCTGAATTTAGGATAATTTTGTCCTTTTATTTTTATTTTTTTTTAAATTCTCAAACGGATCATGTCGAAATTGTTTAAAATTTAATTCAGGAATGAATTTATTTAAATATGAGAGATTTAGATTCCCCATGGAATCTAATCTAAGCGAACTTTCAAAGGAGAGTTCATCAGAGAGAGAACCTCTTTCGTTTAAACGAATTATTTTAAATTTTTGGGGGCATAGTATTGTTAAAAAAGGGTCGATTTTTAAAAACGGCCGGATTAAGATTTTATTCAAAATGATATTATATAATCCTGGAGTGACAAAAAGGCTTGGACCTCTAATCGCCAAATCTCGAGGCTTTCGTAATATTATTTTGTCTAAAATCTCAATCGGGCTTGTTTTTAAACAGCAATTAACATTTATCGATATTCATAAAATAGATATTTATATCGCAGACCTGGCTATAAACCCTTTTATTAATTATAAAAATTAAAAAATAAATGTAATATATATTTTTTTTTAAAAATCGTGGCCTGGAAATGTATAAAGCCCCGGACCGAAAATTTTTTTCTAAAAATAAAAATTCGGGCCGGGCCTCTGCAGCTCTCTGATTTATATATATCAAAGACCTGCAGGCCGGGCCGTATATTTTAAAACTAAATATTTGAAATAACCATTATAAAAATCAAAAATAAATATAATATATTTTAAAAAAAGCCGGGCCGGGCCGTAAAATATAACCCGGGTTGGGCCGTATAATAATTTTGGAAAAAAATCCGGGCTGGGCCGTTCAAAATGGTACCTCTGCAGGTCTCTGAATTTAAAGAAATTTTTTTTTAAAAAAAATATGAAAACCTAACCAAAAGCCAAGGTGTGTAATATGATTAGTATTTTATTTTTTTTGATCTTATGATATTTTTTTATATCTCTGTAAAATCTGAATGTGGCTTTATTTTTATCGTCGGGAAGGTTAATGTTTTTTTGAAAAAATATATATATTTAATGAGATAGTATATTTTTTTTGTTTGAATGTCATTTAAGATTTTATTCTTATTTTATAAATTTATATTTCATTTTTAAAATAATTCCTTAATTCGTCGTATATTTAAAAAAAACTAAAATATAAAAAAAATGATGATAAATAAACATATTAACTATAAATTATAGTTTAATTTTTCAATATAATCCATCCATTTCATATTATATTAATTATGATAAAACCTCGAATTTTGTATGTCTACATTAAGAAGGGAAGGTTGGTGGTGGTCATTGAAGGGAGTATGTCTCTTTAATCGATTTATGAAGCGCCTTAATTTAGCACCCGAATATTTGGCCTATTTTTTTTTAGCCAATAGCATTTACCCATTATAGCGATAAATATATCGGATTCAGAGAATCTGCAAGAGATCAAAATTTTAAGCCTGTGGCGCTCCCGTTTTGATTTTAATTTTAGGCTTACAGGTCTCTGGAATATTCAATAAGTTGTTCGAGCGATAAGGCTGCGGCCTAGGATCAGACCTCTCCATCAAACTTGTATACGACCCCCCCCTACTCATCGAAAAAGGTGCAGATTCTGATATCGCCGCGTTCCCCTTTAATGATGATCACATAGTTAAGGCTATGTTGTTTTTTCTATCTTAAAAATAAAAAAATATTATCCAAAACATTGTTCTATATATATTTTTTTGTGAAGGTAAATATGAAATTTGTTAATTTTTTTTTTATTCTTCAAAATTACCCCTAATATAGTGTTGTTTACCGGATTCGAGCCGATTTTTCTAAAACTCAATATTTTATTCACATAAATATTGCGCGGGCTAGAAGATTTTGCTCACAGATGGCACAATGATTTGGAATATGTATTGGCAAAATTTCGAGGCTTACCCAATATTTTTGTGGCTAAAATATTGTGTTAGCCTTTTTCAAAAATTGGCCAAAATCGAGCCTTTTATCAACACTACCACAATATATCGAAATTAGCGTTGGAAATCGAAACATTATATAATGATATGAACATGTTCGTGCTACGTTATAACGATGTTATTAAATAGCCATATGTTTAAATCGGTATGAAAGGTATTTCACATTTGTTGGGCTTAGGGCTAATGGAATCTAGTAATTTAGATTTGGGGGTTGTGTGCTTGATCTTGTCAAAAAAAACACATTTATTAGCATACTAATCACATTAGAATAGGAATATAATTTTGATAAAATGGGCGCATATATTTTGTAAATAACATCGGTTGCATGTAACATGAGTCGGCCACGTGTGGGATTATTTACAACCCAATATCAACGGAATTATTCTTATAGTAAATTATATTTGAACGAATCTAGTGCGAATAATTCGTTAAGTTCGTATTCGTTTTTTAGGATATGTTTAATCACGAGTGCACACCCATTTTTGGGGGCATATGATTCGCTCTTGAACACGTGAAATTAAATCACGTTGCACTACTATCAGCCTCCGAGTTTACTTATATAATTATTTGGGAACCTCCTATAGAAATTGCACAATGCCCCTCCCTAAATTTTATTTATTTAAAATTGAAAACAAAGAAACTAGTAACAAATAAAATAATTGAAATCGATAGTAATGTAGATGACCTACCATATTTGAAAGAAATAAAGATATACTTAAAATAATCTTAGAATCTTTATATCTAAACGGTATAATAACATATTTTTCATATCGTATCTAGTATAGCTTAGTTGGGTATATGATTGGCCCATTTGTTTGGGTGTCATCTATTTCAAAACCAACAAAAGGTTGAGCTTGTAAGAAACCCACTTTTTTAACAATGCAAACTTTATGACTCTGTTCTTAACCTAATAACATTGTTATTGATACTATATCATCTTTGGATCCATTTGACTATTGGAGAATTAATGCTGAAAGGTATCCAATTTTGTCAAAACTTGCATGTAAATTTGTAAATTTTTGGCGCCTCCGCAACAAGTGTCCCACATAAGTCTATCTTCAGTACGGCAGAGGATTAGATAGCCTACATCTTAGAAGCTTATTGCCAGAAAATCTAGAGGCCCTCATATTTATTTAAAAAATATCTAATATATTATAATTTTAAATATTATGTTTTTATAATTCATAACAACATCTATATATATTATTCAAAATAAAATGGATACACTATTAAATAAATATATATATTTTTTTATCTATTTATAATATTTTTTTTTAAATTAAATGCATAATTCTATTTTTTAATTACATTTGGTTCAAAGGGGAGTGGTAAAAAATAAATATCAGTATCGGATCAGGTTTGAACCAATATCGGATCGGTGATCGGCAGAGCCCCAAATATATATATGTATATATAAAATCTCTGAAAGTAAGAAATTTTATTTTTGCCTGTGGCCCCCTTTTTTATGCCCGGTTTGTTCAAGAATTTTAGATTTTTTGCCGAGGTTTGGTTTAATTTGTCCTGTGGCGGACTGGACGCATCCGATTTTGGATTCGGACTGATCTGCCCGAAGCCTTCAGCGGCATTCATAGTTGGGATCTAATGCGCATGATTTAACAGCTGATCGATTTTTAAAATATGTTTATGAGATCTATTTTTCTTCATTAATGTTAATTTCCATTTTTAATTCCATTCATGATAATAATCTAGGAAATTATTAATTTTGATGAAAAATTGATTTCAAAAAACAGATTTTAAAAATCGATCAGCTGCTAAATCGTGCAGGATCAGATTTGGAACCAATTCCCGAAATTTTTTTTCTGAAATTGCTTCAACTACTCGAATGCAACCGGAAGGTGATATTAAAATGACAATTATTTCCATTTTAATTACGTTGAAATACCACGTCAGTCATTTATTCTCTTTTCCCCTCCTCTCATCTTTATACTGTTTTTTTTTAAATATCAAAATAAATTAAAAATTGCCTTCATTTTTTTTTAGAAACCTGTTTTTTTGAAGATAGATAGATGAGTAAATATAATGTTTCTTTTCTATGCCAAAATTTTCTGAATTTTCTTAAAAAATAAAAATTATATCGTATCATAGCCATTACAAGAATAAATCTAAAATTAATAATAATACCTAGAACCTGCTAAATAATAGTCACCATCTGTCCACATGCACGACCTCCATAAACTGGTCTATCATTCTATAATCGATTCGTATATATCCTTTTGATTCAACTAGGAAAAAAAATAATTTTTTTTATGAAGTGGACGTAAAATTAGTAACTATTGAATTGATTGTCAGCCATTTAATTAACGTTTTGTGGTTGTCTCGATATAGTGTTGTTAAACGGTTAGATTTAAAAAAAAATATGGCTGACCTAGTATTTTAGCTAAAAAGTATTAAACAAGTCCTAGAGATATTCTCAGTTAACCGCGAATTCGCGGCGGATATATACAAAATATGATATTAATCTTTCGTATATATTACTCCGCGATTTCGAGCTAACATATGTGAATGCATGGTTAGCTGTCGGAAAGGTTTAGAACATCTAGAGATATTCGGCGTAAGTATACAAAATATGATACTAATCTTTCGTATATATTACTCCGCGAATTCGAGCTAACATAAGATGGTGGAAAGGTTAGAACATCTATTAACAAAATCTCGGGCTAGAATTCTTATTTAAAAATCGGCTAAAATCGAGCCGTTTAAATTAAACAACATTAATTCTCGAAATTAATACATTTTTTTAAAAAAGGACCTTTATTTTTTTTATTATTTTTTTTCATCCTTATTTTCAAAATTATCATTTTTCTTTTTTTTATCAGTAAAATCTTTCTCTCTATATTTTTTTTTCTTCAAAATTTGGCTTTACAACGCCTTAGTGCCTCAGGGCTTTTGCTATGGTTAGATTTTATTAATTTTTTAGACAAATATTTTTTTGGATTATATATTTCAAAAAAAAAAATTTATAGAATAAAAATTACTTATAAAATTTTTAATTTTTATTTTTTGAAAAGTGAAATGAATATTTAAATGACCGTCAAAAAATGATTTGTTATGTTTCAAAAACAAAACAAAACGAGAGATTGGTTTTTAAAAAAAAAATATCTTCCTTTTTTTCCTCTAGGAATAAATAGGAATTGGATAAATTTTTATTTATTAAAATATTTTTCTACTATCCTTTGTTTATATTATGAAGCTATAACCTCGTTGAAACGTGGTAAAATGGTCCGTATTACTTTTAGGCATATAGATCATTTAATACCGTTTCAATTTCTAAACTGACAGGTTGCATTTCTTACTACCTAAACTTCATATATTCGTTCATTCCTAATTTTTTTTATTATATTGAAATTTTAAAATTCGTACAAAATTTTATTAATTGTCATATGAAGAATGTAATAAATACGTTCAAAAATTAAATAGAAAAGCGCCTTAAATTACGTCCATTTTCCTTTCAAGTGGAATTTAATATTTGGTTAAACCCCCTTTTGCTTTCATATCAGCTGTTATTCTATCGTGCATTGAATTTATGAGATCTCAGCATAATTCCCTTGTAAATAGAATACCATTTACCTTCTAGATAGGCAGGGTTTTTCCGACAACAGTTATATTGGAAGTCTTTAGGTTAAAGATAAATAAATATTAAAATTACCCGTGAAGGCATAACTAAGCTCCTGTCACAAATGTTCAGTTATCGTATTTAGTCGTGCGATTCTAAATTCGGCTATTGTTACACTTTATCACAGAATATGACAAAAAAATGTGACAAGCCTTTTATTATATAAGAGATTTTAGATTTTATTTTATAATTAATAATTTTTTATATTTTTTACATGCTCTTATATATATTCCACGATAATTCGGAATTTTAATTTTTTTTAAAAAAGAAGATTTTGTAAATGTATTTCGGCATACTGTGAATTTCGGACAATTTTGATACAAATTTTTGTATTGGTCTTTAATTTATTAATTTTAAAAATTTTGTATCGTTCAATCAAAGAGTGTCGTTGTTTACTAACTATCCTCAAGGTACTAACCGCGCCAAAATCAGTTTAACCTTTATACTCGTACTGATTTTTCTTCTTTCGATTTAATTTAAACTTTATATACTTATGGAACGGCACCTGCGTTGGTTGCGATATCGATAAAGTAACCGATGCTTTCCTTTAGAGATCTGCAAACGTAAGTTCGGACCGGGCCCGAAAAAATAATTTGAGCCCGGATTTTGCTCATAGATGGCACAAAGGTTTGAACATTTAGTAGCAATCTCGAGGCTGGCTAAAATACTGAGTTAACCGGTCTCCAGACCTCATTTTAGGCGGGCCTTCGACCCGCTTTTGCAAAATTGGCTCAAATAGAGCGATTTTGCACCACTAATTGTAACTATGGGCCGCGCTTTGATATACGGCATTTAGTTACGATATAAAATGGAGGAAGATGCGTGATGGCGAGACAAACCTTATAATTTTAGTGTTGTTAAAGGGCCACGATTTGAGCCGATTTTTATAAGGGCTATATTTTCGCCACAAAAATATTGCCTAAACTTAGAGATTTCGCCGACACATGTCCAAACCTTTGTGTCATCTATAAGCAAAATCTTAAGGTTGGCGTAATATTCTTTTGGATAAAATATTTAGTAAACCGTTTTTAAAAATCGGTTTAAATCGAACCGTTTTAAAGATTGGTTTAAATCGAACCGTTTTAAAAATTGGTTTAAATCGAACTGTTTTTAAAATAGGCTTAAATCGAGCCGTTTAACAGCACTAAATTAAAAAGAATACGATGTTATATAATTTTATTTTTGATATCTAATTTTTTCCGAAGAAGTTTATAAGTGGATATTAGAATTTTTCCGAAAAAATTCGATCGATTTTTAATAAAGATTTTGAGGCGAAAAGTCGAAACCCCCCTTTAAACGAAAAAAATAAATAAAATTTAATGATAGTTTTTTTTTATGAATTCTCTATCCTCTTATATAGAAAGTTTAAATACGTTAAAATATGACTTTATTATTAATCTAGATTGACGATTTATTTATTAAATTTTACATTGAAATCTGCTGTACAGTCAATGTAATTGACTGTAAATAGAAGCCATTTTAAAGATATTTCCACCTAAAAGCCTCTCTACACGTTTTTAATGAATGGGCAGTCTAGATTGGTATTCTAAAATCAGTGGTTTAAGGTAAAAATCATGAAGAACTCTCAGGTAAAAAATGTATGGTGCCTTCTCCACACAATTTCAACCCCCCCCCCTACCACTTTTACTTGGAAAAAAATTTAGGCTGACTAACACCTCGGGGTTTGTGGGGTCTTTGTTAATCCCCCCCCTCCCGAAGTATTTAAAAAATCAAATCAGTTTGCGTTTTTCATAATGGTTACTAGCGTCAAACGGGAATTTAATCAATTAGTTACTTATCATTTGAAATCCATTATTAGCGTTTGCTACGCAGCGTTTGAAACGATTTGTCTGCACTATGAAGTCGGACAATTTTTTTATTTTCAAAAATTTTAAAATATCATTTTTTTTTTAAAAAAACAGCTGAAACTCGGTCTGAGTAGCGAGATCAAAACTAATGGTTATTGCGACGAAGAAGGATTGATGCCAAAAGGGGAGCAAAATGATTTAGGTAAAAATTATGATCTATCCTTCCTTTTTTGTTCTTTGGCAAAATTATTTAATTTTTATTTGGCTACCTGGACATAGGCAATAAAAATATGTAAATTTTTTTTAAAAATGTCTAATTATAAATTACGTTTTTTTCAAGTCAAAATAAACATTTCCTATTTTCCTTGAGCGCTTATAAACTTTGAGCAAATTTGACTTAAGAAATCGGCCGGATATATGGCTTTAGCGTATGTATCCGACACCTGAACCCATGCTCGTCAATATTAGGTGGGTGAGCAAGCGGGTTTAAAATATCAAAACATCGCATCGGTCTATGAATAAATATTTTTTGGACAAATAGAGCAGGAACATGATTTTATAGTGCCCACAAATTGAGCGTTTACGTTTCGCCGTAATTTTTAAATAAACGTAACGTTATTATCCATCGATTCAAAATTTTAAATATCTAAAAAAAAGGATTTGTCTTTGAAAGTTATATTATCGTCTGCGTTCTTATTTCTTTAATTTCTAAATATTCCTTTTTAGGATATAAGTAAGTTATTTATATTACATTTTTATATAATATTACAAAGTGAAGAATTAAAAAAAAGTAATGAAAAAGCAAACCTATTTGCGTTTTTTTAAATGGTTGCTAACGCCAAACGGCAATTTTACCAATTTGCACGAGGCCATTTGAAATCGTATTATTTGCGCTTGCAACGCAGCTTATGACAACTTCCAATTTAGTGCGCATCTAGTAATTAAAATACAAATTAAGGACACCGACCATTAAAATCAAATGTTGTGTAAATGATTAGGCGCGCGTGTTAAACAAAATTTACTTACGATATTATCGAAGGGCAGGCTAAACAGGCTTAAAAAAATAACTTTAAAACGCTAGGTGATCATTTAGGTAAAGACCCGCACCGAAAAATTTACCTACGTTTAAACTCTAAATAGCCTCCATTTCGTTTATAGTTTAGAGAAAGATATGTAGATTGTTTATTTATCGGGGTTTTTTTGTTAAGAAACAAAATGAATTTAGATCACAACCTATTTGCTTTACATCCAACTTCTTACAAAAATATTTGGAAGAAGTAAGATGTGAAGCCTTTAGGCCGTGTTCTGATTCGTTTTATTTCTAGCAGTATAACTCTGAATTATAGTCAGTTTATGTAGCTTTCTTTAAACTAAAAAAGAAATAGAGGCTATTTAGAGTTTAAACGTACGGTAAAGTTTTGTGGCTCTTTCCAAACCAAAATAGGGTCGTCCTAGCGTTTTAAAGTTATCTGTTTAAGTCTGGTTGCATAAACGTCGAAGTAAGTTTCTGAAAATAGTGACCAATCACGTACACCTGGCATTTAGACACTTATTTTAATGGTCAGTGTTATAAACTTGGATTCTAATTACTGACACGCACTAAATTGGAAGTTGTCATATTTATGTTTTACGCGTAAGGCGATACGTTTCAGATGGTATTGTTTTTTATTTTTTGGATTTTAAAATCATTAAGAGCGTGTTATTTTAAATTTTAAAAAATCTGATTTTGCCGGAAAGCATTCCAATAGGTCAAATGTTTATGCTCTTAAATTACACTTCTTTTCTCTTCTCTTCTCTTCTCTTCTCTCTTCTCTTCTCTTCTCTTCTCTTCTCTTCTCTTCTCTTCTCTTCTCTCTCTCTTCTCTTCTCTTCTCTAGCAGCTTTTAAAATAAATATTTTGATAATTAAACTTTAGTGAGCCGATCCAAAAAAAAGTTATAGGGTGCGTTCCTATCGAGTTACTGTTTTTAGGAACAAAATAGAAACTAATTATTTTGTCGGCCAAATCGGATCAACTAGATTTTACTTGGATCCCAAAACCAATCTATTCTGAATGCAACCGAATCCTTTTTTTTTAAGATTTTTCTCCCCGGAGTGTGAAGCGGTATGACCCAATTTTGATCGATTTCTTCACTATTAAAATATCTGAATATAAATTTTCCTTAAAAAAAGGGGGAGATCAAATATCGAATTTCGGGTCGGACCCGGTTTTCAAAATTATATTATTTTACGACTCGATCCGGGTCCGGGAAAACTTATTTTGAATTTCGTAAAAGAAATAAGTGTCCAAATTATTATAATAAAATAATCAATATATTTTGAATTTATTATTAACAGTATTAATATTGTGATTTGTAACATGTCAATATTTTAATATCAATTATTACACATTCATTCTACACCTAAAAATACTGGAAAAATTAATATTTTTATTTTGTACAAAATAAAAATTACTTTAAACGGGTAAGAAATTTTGCGCTGCATTTTTTTTATTTATAAATATAGATTGTATTTTAAAAATAAATTGTTTAACACCTACTCCTTATACCTCCCTTTCTCATATGTATTTTTTATTTTAAGAAATATATGAAATTTGTTTATTTAGATGGGAAAAATTGGTGGAATTATAACGAATTTTATTGCCAAAATAATCGAATAATATAAATATATGAAATTAAATTATATAAAAAATTGTGTTTTATTTATAGGCAAAAAAAGGATGTAAATAATATTGATTTGATTTTACAATATGATTGCGTTGGGGTGGGAAAAGGGTAGGGGGGGGGTTACTAGCGTGATAGATAATTTATAGTTTTTAAACCTTGATGAATTATATTTTCTTCCACGATTCCACTCTTTCTCCTCTTCTTTCTTGGCAAATAGCATTTCTATTAGTTGTGTACTATTTTGCAAACGATGAATAAATCACGCTATAGAATTAAGAATTCGGGTTTTAATATATTCTTTTTAGAATGGATCCGATAATAAATATGGGTTATTTTTTGTCAGTTTTGGATAAATATCTGACTCAGTGACCTTGAATTCATAGTGGCGCGATTGCGATCGCGATTTAACAGCTGATCGATTTTTAAAATCTGTTTATGAGATCAATTTTTAATTGTTAATCTTGATTTTATCTTTAATTCAACTTAATTATAATAATCTAAGAAATAATGCTTTTAATGAAGAAAAATTGATCTCATTAAAAAACTGTCAGCTGTTAATCGCAATCGCGCCATTATGATTTCAAGGTCAAAGATTTAATGATAATTTATGGATCGGCACAAATATTTTTGTTTTCCTCCAAAATTAAAATACGAATGGAATTATTTTATCTTACGGTGTGGGATGATTTCGGGAGGAGATCTGCAGGCCCGACCCGACCCGACGATAACGGACCAAACGGGGATCCTAAAACCGATTCTTTGTAAGCAAGTCAGGAAAGACAAAAGAGTTCTAGTTACTAACCCGAGCTTGACCTATAAAAAAAACCTTTGTGCCGATGGTAATTTAATTTTTGGCAGATAAGGTAATTTAATGACCGAAGATTTTCCCTAAAAACATATAAACGGTTATATTGGTTGTAGTTTTTGACTTACTTATTTTTTTTCTCACTTTCCAGAAAAGTTCGAAAATCAAGACGAAAATTGGGGATCGCTACGCAACGGAAATCACGTGGAGTCAGAGGCGTATAATAATCTTCCCGCTTTAAACGGACCTCTAGGGAAAGATGAAATGGGTATGTTTTATTTTTTTTTAGAAAAAGTAAAAAAAGTGAAAATTAGATTTTTTTTGAAACATTTATTAATTCTCCCATATTTCCAAAACTAAAAGAAGATCAAAATACGGAAGATTTTGAAGAAACGAAATTGAAAACTTTACTTATGGCCAGCCCGGAACGTGACGCCCAACTAAATGGGCACCACGATGAAAAGGACACTGTCGCGGGAAAGGAAAACCATAACGGGTTTTTAAACGGCATTGATGGTTCGACTAAACACCAAGAAACTGGATACGAAAATGACGAGTTTGTATTATATTATTTGTATTTCGGGGGAAAGGGGGCGCTATATACGATGCGGGAAGAAACGCTATATTTTGTATAGGCACTTATGCGTCCCAGTAGACGTTATGATTCTCTCTTTTTATATTTATAAATTTCTCAATTATCTATATTAATATAATAAAGGCGAAAATCGATTCATAAAGATTACCATAGTAGCACTCACCTTACGCCGCCACCTAGTTTATCCATAGCTGACTACCACCCTCTAGCGGAAGAATATTTGAACCCTTTCAGCGATCGACTCAAGGGTGATCATTTCTCCACCTATAATCACCTGTACCAAAATTTCTTCGCCGATAAAAATTATCGAGACTTTCTGAATGACGGTGGTCACATGGTACCCAAAATAAACGAAGAGGAGACCAAGATTGGCCAAATGTTTCTCAAGGAAAAAAGGAATCACGGAGAAAAAGCTCGCGACGAAAATAAAGTTTTTATATTTATTTTTTAAGCAGTAGCGCTCAAAAGAAGCGACATTAATTCCATTTCTATCTAATTACTATGCTTTATTTATGATAGTAAATGTTAACCTTATCATCTTCTATTCAACATTAACACATATCTTTTTTTTTATTAAAAATATTATCCACCATTTTGATATATCGGATCGTCTAATTTTACGATATCGACGATAACTGACATTTTTTAAAATCCGTATTTGGAAGATGATAAGAATATTTTTACAAACACGCTATAATGCACTAAATTTATTTTAAAATAGTAAAAAAAATATAATTAATCTATTTTTATTTTATTTATATTAAATTTATAAATAAATTGAGGGAAAAATATAAATTAGCAGCAGTTTCTTTCTCGTGGGCTTAGAAATTTGTGAAAGACTTATTTTTATAAATCTAGAAAGAAAAAGAAAGGAAGGAAGGGCTTAGTACCATGAATGGCTAACCGTGCCTTCCGTATAAAAAATAGTAAATCACAAACTTATAAACAACAATCTTTAACCTTTTTAAACCTAGCTTATTTATTTATTTATTGCTATATAGATTTTAAACGAGAACAAGCTATCCTTAAACAAAGACACCATCACGGACACGGAAATGAACGGCGAAGAAAGCAGAGGACGAATCCACGCGGATGGGGACGAGATAGTCGGTCGGCCTTACAGCTGTAACGAATGCGGTTTTTCCTTCACCAATAAATCGAATTGCGATAGACATATGAGGTTTGAAATCAAAAAATGAGTCACACATGGCGGAAATCTATTTTAATTACAATATTATGCTAAAATTATACAAATCAATCATTTGGAGTTGATCCTCAATGCTTCCCCTTTATTACGACTAAGCCAATTCTATTGTTAAAGCTCTGTAGGTTCACCGATAACTTGGTTCAGGCCAAAATTTAAAAACATTTCGGTCTCGGGCCTAGAAATTGAAAAAAAATGAATTCGATGGGCTCCAACCATGATAGAACATATGATTTAATGGATAATACCATTGGATATTGTTTGTATTTAGTTATTTGAATATATATATATATTTATTTGTACTTAGGAAAAAGCATGGGTATTTAGGTAAAAGGGAGATTCAAAATGGTCAAAGGTTGCTTTCCTATTTGCAGCAATCGGCCACGACGGGCTATCGCAAAGAAGAAAGAAAGGAAAATCAAAAGTTTGTTTTGCATTTTTTTTCCCAAAAAAGTGATTTTAAACAAAAATTAATAAGTTTAAGAACATTTATTTTGGAAATTTGGAGTTAGCGTGCGTGCCCAGAGATTCTAAACCCCTCTATGCCAGTGATGACCTCTTGAAAATTTTATTCCCCCACCCCCTCATACCTAATCAAAATTAGCAAAAGGAGTACAAATCCCGGGGCTTGCATGTAGAGCCATGCCGATCAGCTTAAAAATATTTTTTTAAATAGGGGATGGGGAAAAAATTGATTATTCACAGTTTTGTATTTTCTTTGTATAAATATCGCTTTTCTGGTTTCCATGATCAGGGTTCCTCCATAATCCGTAGAGTTTTGAAGTGAATTTTTTTTAATGATCAAAAAAATCTTTTAAATTTTCATTGGTACTCTAAGCCGTTATCACCTCTCCCCTCCATGTTAAAACAGAAAGTAGGATTATGCATGTCCCATTTTCTATTGATTATATCATATCGTCACACTCTTTCTCTCTATCACTTATTTATTTATAGAAAAATTTTATACATCCATAGTTATTTTAGAATAAATACCATTCATAATTTATGTTTGTTGAGGTATTGTATGAGTGGTGGCGTTGTTAGAAAGAAAGCAAGGGTGCCCAAACTTCCTGAAATATTTAGCGAATTTCCTGAAAATTTTTAATTTTTAAAAATGTTTGGTAACATCAACTATAATAAGACTTTTATAATATTTTTTTTTCCCCAAAAAAACGATTTTTTATTACTTATAGAATTTATTGCTGCCTTGTATGTAACGAAACCACATCCTTCCTTCACCACGATTCAGCCATAAGACACATTGTGCTTAAACATCCTGAGGTATGAATTTAATTTATGAAATGAATGAGAAATAAAATAAGAAAGAAAAAATAATTTTTTAAAAAAAATAAATAAAAAGGAAAATCAGTTTTCTTTATTTATTCCATAAAATTTATCCCTTTTTAGGTGGATAACATACTTTCTCACATAAGTCCTGGCCCGGAGCAAATTAAGAACCCTCCCCCTCCATTTTCTCGTTCCACCACACTTTCCTCTTCGCGAGATGGCGATACCGACAGCCCAGAAGCTGAGAGAAAATCGGAAAACGTATTCGACAGAAGTTTTAACGGCTACAATTACAGTAATAATCGCAATAATAACTCGGCCCTTTGCAACGACTACAAAGCATCCGAGGACTACTTTTTCCCGCTTATCGCGAACCACCATAGCACGAATACAAATATTGGTATGGCGGATCATAAAAAATTAGCTAGCCCAAGCTTGTTATGCAGGGAAGGGAGTTATCCGACCACCAAACCAAACGATTTGCCTCTTATGCCTCCCTACCCCGCGTACCTTTCAACCCAGGTTTGATGTGGTCTTTTATTAATAATATATCTATATACCCTGAGTCTCATTCGAATTTTTTATTTTCCTTCTCTTTCGGAGTTTTATATCATGTTTAAAAAGAATTTCCCTTCTAATGGAAAAATAATTTTAAAATATTTCGTCAATACAAAAAAAAGGGTTACCCACCTCACGTTTCGTCCACCACGCCTCCCTCCATGAATGCTTCACCATTTTATCAAGGTGTCAACAAACATTGGCTGAATAAATCCGCGTCGTTTAAAACCGCTCATTCTTTCAAAACTACGTGCCCCAATAAAAAAACAGTTATTCACCCCGATAATAAGGAGCATATCTATCCTCAATCTCCCAATTTACTCCGTGATCCGCCTCTCCCTATCGGACTTTCGAGAAATGAAAGGGACTATTTTAAGTTCCGCGATGAGGAAGAAAACGACCGGGATAACGTAAAAGAAGATAACAGAAGTCAAGAGGACGAATACAGTGACAGCCAGGCATCGGAAGGAGAGCCATTCCTTCCTTTGAATAACAAGGAAGGGGAAGAACCCGATGATAGATTATTTTACGATAAAACGGCCGGCGCTCCAAGCACAGATACCGACGCTCCCCTTGATCCCTCTAACCCCCAAACCACAAATACGCCATTTTTTGACCCCAGGGCAGTGCCTTACTGTACCCCCGGCCCCAAAAAATTTGTGTGCGTCTATTGCCACAACACTTACTCCTCGAGGGGCAATGTTAACAGGCACATACGCAACACGCATTTTAAGATGAAACGCGCCACTAATCCGACCGCCACATCTGTCACGTCCGCCCTTACATCATTGGTGTCCAACGTTGCACATTTTCCCGCTGTTCTAAATGCCAAAATGGAGTATACAGGCAATGTCAATCACCTCTTGTTAGATACCATTGCCAAAAATAACGGTTTCGACAAGTTGCCTTCCCCACATAACAATGGTAAGAATGATGGCAGTAATCAAATATCCGCCACTAACCCTGGTGCCTTGATTACTCCCCCTCCTCCTTCCTCTTTTTATTATCAGCATACCCCTCAAGCGCTCATGGAGCAGTACTACAGAAGGTATTTGGCTCAGCACTACCAACTTTCGTATCATGGGAACAATGCAGGAACTAAATTAAATCATTATCATAATGGCGGACCCGTTTTACCACCATTTCCGCCCTCTTTAGGTATTGTTGTTTGTTTATACTTCATTTAATATAATATTTTACTCGGGGATTGGAAAATATATTTTTTTAAAAAATTAAAATTGGGCTTTTATCCGATCCCTAACAATTGCTATATTCTAAAAAAAACTAATTGATTTGTCATCTAACATTATCATATAGCCATGCCGTTTTGTCCAAATCCTAACTTATAGTGCATACTCATTTGGCGTTTTCGATTTATATTGCGATACAAAAAAATAAATAACATAAGCATCCATGTTTAAATTAAGGCGATACATCGCAAACTAATTTGCATTTTTTTTAAGAAAAATATTTTTGCGCAAAGAGAGAATAGCGCCAGTTGATACCATTTGAATTATTTGCGATTCAACATACGTCAAAATCGCACCAATTTGAACGCACTATAAGCTTGTGTAATTATATTATTAAATATAAGCTCGCAATGAATCATCACTGATTACAAGATTATCGAAAAGAAAATTTAAAATTATATAAGGTGGTTTAGGGTTGGGCAAATTTATCTGAAAATGACATTTTTGTTAAGTTACAAAATACTTTCAAAGTTACATTTATTTTAAAATATCGTTCTGATGCGATAAACCAGTAGCATAAAATTACAAACACCACCAATAAATACCCTTCGCTATAAAAAAATATTAAATATTTAAATATGACTTGAGGACGCAATCAATTGGTATTAGATAAAATAATCGAGGTTTCGTAACCCTCCGCTGCCACCATGTTAAGGTTGGCAGGCTGTAATAATCTAAGTTTGTTGATAAATGTCGACGATTTCTTGGATCGGATTCAGTGCATATTGATTGTAGTTTAGAAAATATGTCATCTGATAAATTATGTAGTAAGGTCATGTCGTTATCGTCATCTGTGCTGTTATTATTTTTAAAAATAAGTTCAATTTTAGTTAAATATGTATCAATGTTTCCTATATATTTAGGAAATTCGCATTTATATAATATAGTATCATTCGAAACAGTGGGTTTTTTGTCTTCCACCATATTTAATTAATTGTAAAAAAAAAATTTCTTGTTTTTTTTAATATTATTTATTTATTTTATTTTTAGAAATGTGAAATAATTAATATAAAATTTATCTTAATAATTTAATAAAATTTTAATTTACAAGGAAATTTACATAGATAGCCGCTGCCACCATGTTATGGTTGGCAGGGATAAGAACAAAATTAAGAAAGTGTTTTAAAATTTTTATTTTAATATAAAGATGAATTTCATATTATTTCACATTTCTAAAAATAAAATAAATAAATAATATTTTTAAAAAAACAGGAAGAAATTTTTTTTTTATAATTAATTAAATATGGTGGACGACAAAAAACCCACTGATTCTAATAATACTATTTTATATAAATGGGAATTTCCTAAATATATAGGAAACATTGATACATATTTAACTAAAATTGAACTTATTTTTAAAAATAATAACAGCACAGATGACGATAACGCCACGACCTTCTACATAATTTACCAGATGACGTATTTTCTAAACTACAATCAATATGCACTGAATCCGATCTCAAGAAATCGTCGACACTTATCAACACAGGATAATGTTTTTTAGTGTTCTTTATCAAGCTAGAGCAAGTCAATACGAGTTTAAAACTATTCATTAAAAACCAAAAAAAATGTAATTTCTCGATGACCACTTTTTCAAAAAGTTTGGTATGCTAGCGCCATTCTTGAAATTGAGGAGTTTTTATCAATCCTGCTAAAAAATACAGTATTTATATTATACTACTGCAGAATAAGTTAATATCGTATTATATTTCAGGAATATTTCCTATGTTTCGGATATTTACGAAGTATATTTGAATGGCGAATTTCTAAGATATTGAAGATTTGAAACTTAATATCATTCGAAATGACCTCTTTAAAAATAATTTAGTTATTATGTTATAATATTATCAATTTTTTTAATGCATTGAGGTTCCTAGAATTGTAGAATGAAAATTTTCTCTCGACAAATTTTTTTTTGAGCTTTCATAAAAATGCATTCTGTATCTACTTTTTATTATATTCCCCTTAATCAATTATCTGAAAGTATGTGGCATCTAGAATCTCAGATTCTTTATGATGAATTAAATGGATGGACCATATAATAAATATTTTGTCATATAAATTTATGATTTTTTTCCTTTTCAAGATGATTTTCTATTGTTTTGAAAGAGGTATCAGATCACCATCATTTGTTGTGTAATGTTATCTTCTACAATTACAAAATAAATATGAAATTTTTAAAAAATATATCAAGGTTACATTTCTAAGTATCTCAGTAAATATGATAATAACCCGAATTGTACCTATAACTTTGGTCGACTCGAACCGGCCCTAGTGGAATTTTTATCAGGTTTTACGCCCGGTACTTAATTATTTTTACCCGATAAAAGTCTAATTATCAAAACTTCGACCCTATCCGGAAAATTTTCTGCGCCAACCTCGCACATGCCTTTTTTTAGAGGACAATTCCATATTTTAACAATAACATTATAGGGACGAAAAAGAAATAAATGAGTGTATAACTTTAAAATAGATGGATTATTTTAATAGAAAGAATAATTACCATATTCCTTATCCAAGATTCAAATTTATTAAAAATGGAGACCCGCAGGCCGCGGAAACCCGTCCCGCCCCCAAAATGGTACGATTTTAAAAAATTTTCGGTCGGGTCGTAAAATACTCTAAGATAAAAATCCAAGGCCCGGAGACTTGGAACAGAAATAAGAAAGAAAAATACGATATAGTATCGAATGGGCCTAACGCCGATATTCTTAAAAATATGGAATCGATACATTCACGATTAATAACATTTTTTTTATTTTAAAACCCATTCATTAATTGCAGATCCAACTCGGGCTCAACAAATATTTGCCGCCGATTATGAAATGAAAAGGAAGCATAATTATGATGATCACGATAACGTCAAACAAGAATATGAATTATCTTATGGTAATGAAGCGGAAGAAGATACCAAAAAGGCATCTCCTGACCAGGTGGAGCATTTGACGAATAAGGAAATAGCGAACTTAGGCAATAATGGCATCCTACCTTCCGAAAACGAAGGTGACAGTGATGAGCAAGCCGATAAAGATGATGAAAGAAGGACGCCTGAAATGGGTTCCGAACAAAATCATGGTATAGTAGGAAATAAATAAAAATATTGCGATTTATATTTCACTTTTATTTCTTCTTGTTTGTTACAAAGTATCCCAAATGAATAATTACCCAACATTTATTATTATTAATTTTTAGTGGTTTTAAACCTTTTCCCATGATATAAATATTTTATTTCCGACTCCTCGTAAAGACACCAATGACAACGACGCGAAAAATAAGGATACCGCTAATGTCAATAAAGATAGCTACCAACACTTTGATGGCCCCGAAAATAGGCTCACTACAGTGCCCTCTTTTGAATGCAGCGAGTGCGGGCTCGTATTTGCGGCCATGTCTAGTCTGAACCGACATTTATGTGGGAAACACGGACTAGAGAATAATAAGACTATTGACAAAGCGGGCGGGGGAGAAGATTCTGACAAAATGACAATTTCGGAAGATTTAGATACTCGCGATCTTTCCGATAATCTAAAGGAGAAAAATAATGAGGATAAATCGGGATTACTTTCCAACACCACCCATACCTCTCCCCAATTCCCTTTTCCTACTAAAATTAACATTCCAGATGGCGATAACGTAAACTTAAGCAAGGAACCCGAATTTTTTTCCTTGCTAAGCAAAGCTGCCCTACCGACTTATTATAAAGGCTTATTGCAATATGCACAGCATAATAATTACGGTTCGACGGAGTATCTTAACTTGAAACAGCAGCCTATCAAGACTCCACCGAGCCACAACAACCAATCCCATCCTCACATAAATGCGCATAATACCCATAATAAGAATCATCATCATAATCAAATTAATAACTCCGGCAACGCTACGAGCAATAATAACGGCAGTGGCAACCATTGGATTTGCACGATTTGTGGGACCACATTTTCCCTTAAGCATTCTCTCATCCGTCATCATAAACGCCACTCCGCCCGAAGTCCACAGGACCCCCACAATTTCTCACCGCTCGAGGATATGCTCAACTATTCGACCAAATACCTCGGCTTCAGAAATCCTGCAAATTCTCACCAAAATCCTAACAATTCCAAGGCTAATTTTAACCCCGATACTCCCAAAGCATTTTCTGAAACGAAGGGCTTTAACAACACGAAGGCTTACAACACCTCTAATAAAACCGGATGGGCTCGAAATAGTTATGAAGGAGGGCGAATGAACCATAAAGCGGCCATGGATCTATACAAGGCTATGGCGGCTAAGGAGTACTATTCCCAGTTTTTCCTACCGCCACCCTCATTTATGACAGGAGGGGAAAGGGACCCGGAAAAGGCTACTGGGAAAGCGAGTATAGTAATACCCTCCCCGCCACCACTTTCATTTTCTTCCACTTAAATCATTTGGTTTATAAATAATTTTATATAAAGTATCAAAACATTATTATAAAAAAAAGCTCAAAAATTTCAAATCGGTTCTTTATTTTTGTATTTATAGATATCAAAATTATTATTCAATTTATACAATATCGAGTCCAATTAGTTCTCTTCCATATTTTTTCTTCTTCTGACTAACTTATTTTGAATTACCCTGCCCCCCTCCCCCCATAATTCTATTTAACATATAACCCCCCCCCCCCCCATCCTTTTCCTATACCCGTTTAAATATTTATTAGACTTATAGATAGACGAATTAATTATTTGCTCATAAAAACACCTATTTAAAATTACCTTTGATGAATTTTTTTTTTAAAAAAAGAACATTTTCTAATTTATATTTATAGTATATACAATATATATATATATATATATCTAAATTTTTCACACTTACCATTCCAAAACTTTTAAACGAAGTTCATAATATTATCTATCATAATTATATATATATATATATATGATAAATTTCACTTTATTTATAGATATTTTTAAAATGGAAATATAATTATAACTTTTTACCATAAATGTAATAATATTTTATATATTATATAATGAAAAAAAAAGTTAAATTACTATTTTTGCAAAAGATATTATATAAATAAGATTCATTAATATTTTTTTCGGGCCATTATAATAAATATATTTTAAGAAATTAGTGGATATATCCTTATAAATTATGAATAACAAATTTGCTAATGTTTATTCTTGTATAACAATATCTTAAGAATTAACGGAAACATCGCCAGATTTTTTTATGTGCATCCTATAATTAAAGAATTAATTAAGAAAATCAGATAAATAATAAGTATACATTATTTGGAAGATTTTGAAAGATATAATAAATATATAAATTTTGATAATCACATATTGAGTGTCAGTGACTTAAGAAGATAGGTCTAAATTACTGACTTATACTTACATTACAAAGTTCACAATTACAAAGTATTCCAATCATTTGAGTATATTTCATCATATTAATATTTATTAACTTATACAAAATTGGCTGAATATAAAAATACATTTTAAGGCATCGTATACCACCCGATGGAATAACCAAATAAATTCAAAACAGTATATACATTATATATATATAATAGCTGGAAGATGTCCTGGAATAATTATTTTTTGAAAAATTATTAGGAGTTTTAAATTGTCGTATATAGAAATACCGGTAGCGTTATAAGTCCGGGTGGAAATATAATATTATATGATTTAACAAATGAAACCCTTCCAAAATTGTTAAATTAAATTAGTTATGATGGATATGAATAAACTTAGGGGCAAATTTTTTTTAATTGGAGCAATTTTAGATCATGTTTACCTGAGCTAAAAGCCAATATTATGAAATCTTATTTATATTTTTCATTTTGTTTTAGTTTTATAAAATATCAAGTTTTTAATAAATAAAAAAATATATATATTGCAATAAAAATAATCATTGTTAGCCACTCCCTAGGTATAGCCCGGAAAGGAAAAAAGGATCTATAATAATGATGCCATTATGTCTCCAACAAATTTATTAAGGCGGAAGTTACCCCAAAAACTTGGATACTTTTATGACGCTAATTAATCATATGGATTACCCTGCTGAAATAATTGTCAAACAATACATAATTCAATATATCAGGGAAATGAGCTAATGTAAAATCATTCCTGAGACCTGCTCTGCTAACTATCTTGTTATAAGAAAAATTTCCTAATATTAATTCCTTGCAGCTCGATTGAGGGTTTATTTTTAGTGCCTAAATGTACCCGAAAAGAAATAACATGGATTATAAGAAGAAAATGAATTTTTTTTTATCGAATTTATTTAAGTAAAAGGTGATTGATAATGAAATATTATCCAAAATAAATTGATGAAAAGTTTCAGATCATCTTTTACTATTTTTCAAAATAATTAACAACATTGATAATGTTATGATATATAATATTTCCAATGTTCCTCAAACGCTGGAAGTAAGGCAAAATCCGATTTTCTTGGTCCTAGCTAGGCACGGCCAGGCCATATATTACATCAAATAACATAAAATGAACGCATTTTATAAAATGGAAATCACTAATTACTTTGTCCTTACTAAAGATTTACATATACAGAGCTGGTCTCGATCCGCTCTCGTCCAGCCCTTGGGCTGGACCAAAAGTAAGCCAAGAACATGATCGTGTGTCGATTTAAATTTTTCTACAAACTTGGGCCAGAGTTATTTTTTTCTAAAATATGGCGGGATTGGGCCTGAAGTTTTTACTAAGATTAGTTGAATTTAAATCTAAATTGTCCACGTCATTCACATACCAACGTTATAGCGGAACGTTTAGTTGGAAACTTTTAAACTTAGCATCATGACTAAAAGAAAACGAAGAGGAATTAGTAACCAATTTAGCTAACCTCTCATACAATTATAGAAATGCACCGGGGTAAGAATACGAACAGAGCAGCAAAAATGCTATTAAAAATTAAAGCTAGAAACAAATATTTGAACGGGGGAACAGGAAGGAAAGGTTAGAATATTATACTCAAAAATTAGATACAAATGGAAAAGCGTGGTCGCGCATAAAGGAAAATGGGGAAAAGGCATTAGCGTATTAGGATATAGCTACGATATGATGTAAGTATAGAGGGTAAGTAAAACGGAAATATTGATCAATTAAGGAAAAAGGAAGGAAGAGTATTTATTCGATAAGAGAACTGAAGATGATTTATTAGAAAAAAAGTATTGAATATATTTTAAACATAGTGGAGGGATTAAACAATAGTTAAGAAATAACCCCAAAGAGAGTGAGGAGAAAATTACCAGTCAGAAATGTAGGAACTATTGCAGTGGTGTCAGGAACTTAAAGCAAGATTAAGGTCGATATCCTACGAGAGTACGCATTAAACTTATATTTTTATCATTTACATTCAAAAATGGTTAACTTTATGAATATAAATAGTGGAATTTTGAAAGAATAAAAAATAATTTTGAGTTGGCTTTTTAGTACGAGAATATTTTTGATATTTACTACAAAACTACTATTATTTTAAGTTATAATATCAAACATATCATTTTAATTTGTCCTTATTATATATTTTACTATAGGAGTTAATAATTTGGAGATTAATTATTATAATTTTTATTTTTAGTCAATAAACAACATTTCAAAATAGAACACATTTCACCAAAAAATGAATAAAACAAAAATATACCTATTTTCTTTGGCATCAAATCATAAAGTGATCTTCATTTTATAATAAATAAGATAGTTTCAGAAGTTATTAGACATTCAATGATTTCATATTAACCCAAAAACAAATTATAAAATTCCGAATTAACACATTTTTGGGCCGACTTTTTTTTAAAAAAAAACATAAACTATAAAGGGTCGGGCCTTACTTTTTTTTACAAGACCATGTCGTGCAATTAATATTTCATCAGGTCTCTACAGATTTTTTTACTTCCAGGTTGGCTTGAGCCAAGAAAATCATTTTTGCGAGCCTTTAACATCCTTATTATCACTTTATTATTTTTAGATATATAACAGGGGTTGCCATATCTCCCGCTTTTGGCGTAATCTCCCCATTTTTTATTTTAATATGTGCCCGCTTTCTCCCGTTTTTTTAACGATTTTCTTCCGATTTTATTTTTTAAAATATAAATATAATTAAAAATAGTTTGACAAATTTAGGCAACCATTTTTTTTTTAAATTTTAATTCAATCATACATTTAAAAGGTCATCTTGTTTTTGTCGCTCCAAAAATATATACCAAAAAAGTAATAAGTTAAGTTAATAGACTCTGTAAATTATTTTATTTATTTTGGAGAGAAAGGGGAGGGAAATGGATTAGAGTGGAAGATACGGAAATGAAGGAAAATTTATTTATTATCACATCACAGGAAAGAAAAACAACAGAAAGTGAATTAATTGATTGATAAATGGTTTTCAAACGGTCTTTTTTTAGAGATATTGAATATGTTCGCTAAAAAAAAAGACCGTTTGAAAACCATTTTATCAATCGATTAATTCACTTCCTGTTGTTTTTCTTTCCTGTGATGTGAGATACATCGCCGGAGTGGCCTAATGGGTTAGATGTATGATTGGAAACAGAAGGACGCATAAGACGCAGGTTCAATCCTGGTAAGGAGCATAAAAACTTTCAGGTTTTTCATTGATGAAAGATGTGTAAAGATATATGGTAAGATGAATTTCACATCTTAGAGATGATACCCAAGTCACCGACAGGCCTGGACAGCCGGGTGCTAAGGATAATTGTCCAATAAACAAAATGAAGGAAACAAATGAAAATATGAATATGAAAGCTAGGGCGTTCCCTCCAAGTGACGCGCAGGGTGTAGACCTCCATCCTGTGAAAAGTAAAATAAAGGTCAAAGCAAATAAGACAATGTTGTATTATATAAATTTAATATGGTACGAAATTTAACATTTTTATAATTTATGGTATTATGTAAATTTAATATTGTACGAAATTTAAGATTTTTATATTTGAATAATAATAGTTTAATTTTTATATGTTTATTCTTCGAAAATTGGTAATATTTGTACTAGATTTTAGATTTATATATTTGAATAATAAGATTTTAATTTTATATTTTTAATTCTTTGAAAATTGTTAAATTTTGATATTTTTGATTCTTCGAAAATTGTTTAATTTTTATATGTTGATTCTTCGAAAATTGTGTGAAATTTAATAAAAAGAAAAAGTTAATAAAGAAAAAGTAAGTCCACAATTTAATAAAGTAGAATTATTTAAAAGAGTTTAGATTATATATTTTAGGTGTGCTCAAAAGTAAGTGGTTAGTCATCGTTATTATTAAAATTAATCCTTTATTTTAATTATATAGATTTAATACACCTTTGATTCTTAATTAGCTCTCCCAATACTGCATTAACACCCTGAGTTAAGTTCGGACTTGTAACAGACAAGATTAGCAAGTTTGAATATTGGTACACTTAAAGGTAAGACGAGAGAATTGGCATCAATGTTGAACAAGAGAAAAGTTGACATAGCTTGCATACAAGAGACGAAATAGAAAGGTCAACTTTAATCATTGGAGATGGGTATAAATTGTACTATAATGGAATTGTTAGCAATAGGAACGGTGTCGGCATCATCCTCAGTCAATCTAACCTCCTCAATAGTAGCAGTCAACAGGATCTTTGATAGACTAATGAAGATAAAACTCTGCATTGGTCAATCAATACTACACATCCTTTCAGTATATTCTCCTCAAACGGGTTGCAAGGAAGAAGAGAAAGATGACTTTAGAGCTATCCTTGATGAAGCTCTAATGGAAATCCCTAAGGATGACTTAGTCATAATAGGTGGTGACTTAAATGCGCATGTGGGAAAAGCAAGAGATAGCTAAGCATCATGGTGGTTTTGGATACGGAGTAAGAAATGATGAAGGAGAGCATGTACTGAAATTTGCGCAAGACTTCGACCTTGCCTTAATAAACACCTACTATAGGGAAAAAGATAGTCATTTAATAACATATGAAAGTGGTACAAGGAAAACACAGATAGATACATGCTAATCTCTCGCAGAAGATTATAAGATGTAATAGACTGCAAAGTCATCCCAGGAGAAGATATCGCCGTGCAACACAAGCTACTAGTCATAGATTTACGCATCTCAAATAAATCCACTCAAAATAAGATAAAACTGGATTAAAAACAATGACAGATGCCTTTGCAATCAATGCAAACATTGAAACAATAGATTCCTCACAAGTCAGTGAAAAAATGTGGACAGACCTTTCATCCAGATTAATAGACACTGCTAAATCGATACTAGGCTTGACAAGGGGAGGTAACAAATCTTACAAAGAACTATGGTGGTGGAATGAAGAGGTATAGATTCCTCACAAGTCAGTGAAAAAATGTGGACAGACCTTTCATCCAGATTAATAGACACTGCTAAATCGACACTAGGCTTGACAAGGGGAGGTAACAAATCATACAAAGAACTATGGTGGTGGAATGAAGAGGTACAAACCACTATACAGGAGAAAAAAGCCCTTTAAAATATGGTACAAATCCTAAAACCCAGATGACAAGACAAGATACAAAAAATCCAAGAGATTAGCTATAAAGGTGGTGGCTAGGGCCAAATCTATGGCATTCAATGACATGTATGAAGAATGACATACCAAAGAAGGGCATAATAAAATATACAGATTAGCCAAACAGCGAAAAAGATTTCTAGGGATATAAATGGAGCTCCGAAAGTAATAAAAAATAAAGATGGAAAATAGATATAAGGAAAAAGAAATAATGAATAGATGGAAAGAATATTTTCAGGAACTTCTCAACTTTCACATACTACATCTAAATGAACACTTCCCATGACAAAACATTATACAGCTAATATCAGAATAAGCTAGGGGTCAAGATGATATTCCAATAGAAAGTCTTAAAGTACTAGGAGATGATGTAATATATTTCCTCACAAATCTATACAATAAAATACTGGGAAATGAAGAGGTTCCTCAAAAATGAAGGGAGAGCTATATAGATCCTATCACGATGTCTGTCCCAGGCGCGTACGCAGGAATTTGGTCTAGATCCACACAATTGTCAAAATTGCAAGGGCATAAAACTAATGTCACACTGTCTTAACCTCTACAAAAAAATAATAGAAAAAAGGTTAAGAGACATAATCGAAATAGGAGAGACTCAGTTTGGCTTTATGCCTGAAAGATCAACAACTGATGCTATCCACGCAATTAGGCAAATGAGTAAAAAATACAGGGAAAAGAACAAAAAGCTACACATGGTCTTTCTCGATCTAGAAAAGGCCTTCGATATAATCCCAAGAAAACTTATCTGATGGGCACAACGCCATAAAAAGATTCCCGAAAAATATATAAGAATAATATAAGATATGTATATGGGCCATACAACAATGGTTGGTAGCACAACAGGTACTTCAGCAGGCTTCACAATAGCCGGGAGTTCATCAAGGGTCGGCTCTCAACCTACTTCTCTTAATTACAGTAATAGATGTATTAGAACAGTCCATACCTCAAACAGTCCCGTGGAATATGATATTTGCAGAAGATATTGTGATACTTGCCGAATACAAGGTTGAAATGAAAGAAAAATTAGTGAGTTGGATAAATATCCTAGAAAAGCATGGACCTAAAAGCAATTAGTGAAAAGACAGATTATATGGTGATAGGAGGAGATTAAACAGAGAGCATTGATATAAATGAATGGAAGATATCGGCAATTGAACAAACAAACGGCACAATAGAGAAAGAAGAGCAAAATTAATCAAGGGTAGTTAAAGATCTTTATCAGTGCTATTTGACAAAAGAATCCCATACAAATTAAAGGGAAAATTTACAGTTCCATAGTACAACCAACTATTCTATCTAGTTCGGAAACATGGCCAACCAAGGAATCAGAAAAGAAGTCTACAGACTATGGAGATGAGAATGCTAAGGATAAATGCTGGGGTAAAAAGAAAGGATGCGCAGTACAAGAATACTAGTTTAAAGGTAGTACCCATTAAGACTAAGATAATGGTAAACAGACTTAGGTGGTATGGGCACACAATGAGAAGGCCTATGAACTACATAGGAAATAAGGTTGAGAGTTTGGAAGTGATGGGCAAACGTAAAAGAGGAAGGCCAAAACTTCAATGGGGCCATAAAGTTAGAACCAATATAAAGAAGTATAAATTAGATAAAAGAGATTGTATGAATAACATAAAGTGGAGAGAGATGTTCAAGGAGCTTACCACCAGAAAAGGTGAAAGCTAAAGAGAAAAAAAATGATGATGTTCGATAAATCGCTTTTAAGTGAATGATATCATATTATGATTTTTATGTAATATTATTTATAGATGTTTTTTTAATAAAAATATTAATAACAATGAATCTATTTTTTTTTCCTCGTAAATATTTTATATTAAATTTTAGATACCTAGCGGATAGAGGATGTATCAATTTTTATATACAATAAAATATGTGGCCTAATTAACACTTATTTTTTTATATTTTTTTGGTTTTAGAAAAATAATTATTTTTACATTTAGTATGAAGGGACAGCAAGGCTGGGTATTCCTTATTTTGTAATTAGTAAAACTGTAATTAATTCCAATTTTTAAAGAGGAATTAGTAATGATAATTAATTACACTTTCTGTTATTAGTAATTACATTTATAATTCCTTTTCTAATTTGATAAATTTTTTATAATAAAATTGCATACATATTTTTTTTAAATAATTTCAATCATTCATTTTTATCTTGAGCAAAATATTAAATAATGAATATTTAATTTTTACATTGAACTCTGACGATAGATCCAGATCATTACTCTTTCAATACAATCTCTACATTCATTAGAGATATAACGAAATTGTCAATATTCATTCAAAAAATTTTGTAAATATATTTTGTCTAAGCTTCGATGAGCTTGTTAGAGAAAAGTGGTTGAATTAATTTCATATTAATAATGGATGGTTAATATGGTTGAATAAATATTATTTTAGTATCTCACTTATAACTTTATTGTTCTAGTTTTAGGGGGGGGGGGGGTAAATTCAAGACATATTTTTTTAAAATGTTGACCAGCTTGGTCAGTCATAATAAAAATTTCACTAATTGTTCGATGTTTGGTAAATTAGAAACGTCCACGGAAGGCTCCGATATTAAAAGCTACTAAATATTTAAAATTTATCTTTCACATTTCATGTATTTTTTGTAAATATAAAATCGTGAGCCAAATATCATTTTCCAAGAGGATGCATAATACATCTTAGTAAAGATGGGCCAAATATATTGGATATAGATATCGTCGGCTAAAAGTACAGAATCTCATAATATAGTAAATATATGGATCAGTCATTTAAAAAGCCAATCATCACCTGTCTAATCTGGGCCTCGTTGGAACCAAGGTATTTACTCAATTTATCAAGACTTTTTACTTTTAGCAAAAAACATTTCACTATCTGTTTTATTTTTAGCAATAAAAAGTGAGATTATTTTCCACCATTTTTAATTAATTTTTTTTTAATATTAAATCATCAAAATCATAAGTAAAATTATGTATGTATACATAAACTTATACAAAATAAGAATAAAAATATAAAATTAATATATAAAAATAAGATGTTATCTTGGTTTTATTGCATAGCATTTTAAATATTGTGAACAGTTCCTTTAGAAATATTTAATCTTTTAGTACTTTAAACATAGTTTCCTAAGGGGGGAGGAAAAATAAGTCTGGAACAAATAGGAAATAAATTTTTATTTGTTTATATAAAATATAGTAAATTACATATGTATATATACATTAATACAAAAACGCGGTAATAATTTATAATGTTAAATCTAATTTTCTTTTAAAATTTGATAATAAATTAAGAATCTAGCATATTACAACCTTATCCTATAATAGATTATATACGTAGACTTTATAAAATTATCAAAATGATGTTTTAATTTATATTTTTTTTTAAATCTATTTTATTGTATATTTATAATTTAAAATATTTAAATCACTCTATAAATATCAAGTTAACATCTTTATCCACTATAAGGTGATAAATCTGCCAAATATAAATATCTTATATGCCTTTATAAAATAAAATCATACAATTTGTAATTAAGTAAAATATTTATATTTATAATTCTCCACAATTTATTAGTGATATCGATGTCCAATTTGTGCATTATATGTAGTCTAAATGTTGGAATGACTGAAACTGGGATTTTTTGTAAATTTTTGTAAAAATTATCTTTATTTAATTTCTAAATCACGTAAGAGATAATAAAAACATGTCGTATAAAAATAATAAAAAAAATAATATAGTAACTTAAAGAATCAAAATGGATTATCCAAAGTGGGATCAAAATAATATAAATAAATCTATAGATAAAATAGAAGAATATTTCTTAAATTGTGATTATAATAGACACTAGAAAGCTAATGTTTAATTTATCAGACAATTTATTTGAGGTTATAGAAGCTATGGAACCAAAAAGATAAAAGATCAACATATGAGGAAATAATGATTAGATTAAAATTAGTATGTAATAATGTAGATAAAAGAAACACCTAGCTCAATTCATCATGCATCTAATTATCCTAATAATAATTCTCAAAATAAAACTTATAAAAAAAATAGTTAAAATATTAATTATTATCATTAAGAATCCAATTAATTATTATAAAAAAATCAAAATTATGATGAAAGTAGAAATTCAGATAATATATTATAAAGAGATATACAACAATAGAAAAAAATTAATAATCAAGTTGATTTAGAAAAAATACCAGGTTTATTTATGCCCGATTGATTATGATTAACATGATACTTATGAAAACTGAAAAAACGTTAATTGAATAAAGAGGAAAATTTGTAGTGAAATTAAAATACAAAATGTAATGGACATATATCGTATTAAACTATTTAAAATTTGAAAATTATAACTAAAAATTTTATAGCAATTTCGCTAAAATTCATTTATATATATATATATAGAACAGATATATTATATAGATAAATATAACACCCATGATAAAAATCTTAAAATCATATATTAATTTCCGGTAGATGGCGTAATATATTTAAAATTATATTTTATTTTTTAAAAATAATATGAATTATAGGATCATAAATTATTTTCTCTGGATTAATTTATTTGGTACAAACTTATATAATCATAAAATAAATAAAAATTGAAGTTTTCCATCATTACTTTTGGAGTTATGATGTCCATTCTCAGTTTAATCATATTTTTTTTAGATTTTTGTGTTTCTTTCCTTCATTCCTTCCTTCCTTCCTTCCTTTAACTCATTTTGTGTAAATTAAATTACATAATCATAAAATAAAAAAAAATTTGAAGTTTTCCATCATTACTTTAAGAGTTATGATGGCCATTCTCAATTTAGTCATTTTTTTTAGACTTCAAAAAATAAATTATGTTTTTGACTCACTTAAAATAAATGCAAATAATTTATCATTATTATTGAATCAAAAAAACTAATTTACTTCAATTAAAATTTAGGGGACCCTTAAAAGGGCCGTTGAGTGTTCATTGGTTCTTAAAAAAGACCGTTGGGTATTTATGTCTTAAAAAAAGACGTTCGTCATAAATGCTAGATAAAGGATACTATATAAAATTAAAAATCTTATAAATTTGGTCATTTTGAAATTTATAAGGGACAAATGACCCTTCTATCTAACTACTCATGGGTAGGTGATGATATTATACCTAAAGTAATTAAATAAATCCAACTAAGTCGAAAATCTAGAAATTAGTTATTTTGCGTACTAAAATGGGAATGCTCTAATACTGTATGTGAAGCAGTTAAAAGATTTTGGTTCAATTTAAGTCATAGTGAAAAAAAAATAATACATACTTCTTATGGATATTATACAAATATTTGATCATTTTAATAATTATTATAAATAACGACGCAGATATGGTAAAATATGTAATACACCACAAGAAAAAGAATGCAAAAAAAATGTAAAGTTGTTTATTTTATTTTGGTAGAAATATAGAGGTTCTTTTTACTCCTTCAAAATATTATTTTCTCGGTTACGATTCAGATATTTATAAAGGTTTATAATGAATTCAACGGTTCGCTACGGTTCACTCTGGGTCCCTATAAAAGACCGTGAGAATTTTCTTGGGTAGAATGTTGATATTCTGTTTTATTATAAAATTATAATTCATTTTTTATTTATTTCCTAGATGTTTTTTTTTGCAAAACATTATAGTTGGGTAATGGACTAAATGTCGGCTAATTCAGCTCAACTATATTTTTAAGAAATTTTCTGAGGTCAAAGTGACAATTTTAGGCTAAAAATTGGCTTAAACGGCTAAAAAATATAGTAATTACCCTTTAACGCCTATTATTTTTAACAGAGGCCTACAGACCCGGTCTCAATTTTTTTTAAAAATCCGGGCCGGACCGTTCAAATGTTACCTCTGCAGGCTGATTTTTATCATGAAATAAAGATATATAACTTACAATTTTTTTAAACCAAATAAATGAATTGAATTTATTTACTCTGTGCCCTTTCCCTCCACCAAAAAAAAATAATATAACCTAAATTTATTTATTTTTTTTAAATTAACGATATCTCGTTATATATGTTTTCTTGGTTAATTTTGTTATTATGAAATGTTAAAAAGATGATAAAATTTTATTGATATAATTGAATGAATGCAACCAAAAAAAAACAATAAACCGCTTTATAGAGGTTTAACGCAAATGGACAAAAAAAAATTTAAAAAATATTTCCCACTATTTCGAAGTAGGCAGTGGTGTGCCCAAATTTATCATCTAATCGTAGTTAATGGGAATTTAATTGAGACTCGACCTTAAAAAAATGTATTCCTAGATACGCCATGGGATGAGGTAAATATTCGGCCCAAGGTTGGAACAAATTTTGAAAAAAATTGTATTATGGTTGAGGCGCTTATCGCCAATAGACATTTCGCGTATATTTTTTGGCCTAAAAGACGCCAATAAGTATAACCGAGTCCCAACAAATGGCAATGAGAGCCGTTTGTCGTGTAATGAATTATTTAAAAACTATATTTGGCATTCGAACTAGTGTAACTCGGTATATTAGTTTTATCCGTTACTTATAACAATAGAAAATATATAATTAACGAATTATAACATTAAAATGTATAAAAAGAAACAAAATACTCTTTAGAATTAATCAATTAAAATGGCCGATTTATTAATGATGAGTATTCAGCTATTTAAATCGGAACTTATGGGTTTCTTTGGTTAATAAATTAGCGGTTTGGCTACTAAACTAGCCTTCATTGGAGCTTATTGATACTCATTGGCGCTTATTAGCACTGATTGGTGCCACCTTAGAACGAAAACGCTGTAGGCAAAAATGTCTAGTGGTGTCAAACGTCTCTATTTTAGCCAGAAAAAATATTGTCTAAGCCTCGAAATTTAGCTTAATAGATGTCAAACAAATTTTTTTGAGACCATCTCTCAGCAAAATCATCAGGCTTTTGCGTAACATTTTTCGAGATAAAATATTGAGTTTTCAAAAATCGGCTCAAATCGAGTCCTTCACCTAGAAATGACATCGGCAAAAAAAGAGGCCATCTCCAGACAAAAAGTTTTTCAACACGATTATTTTATAAACGTGTTGATGGCATTAGTGAAAACGGTTAACTCATTAGAAAATATTGACTATTATACCTCGAGATTTTGCTAATGGATGTCCAAAACTTTGTATCATCCAAAACCAAAATATTCAGGCTTGTGTAATATTATTCTGGGTAAGAAAGAAAGAAAGAAAGAAAGAAAGAAAGAAAGAAAGAAAGAAAGAAAGAAAGAAAGAAAGAAAGAAAAAAAGAACAAAATACCAAATAATATAAAAGAAATATGACACTTTCGGAATTATCAAATATTTTTAAAAAATAAAAATAATACAAACCAATCTTCCTTCTTTCTATTTTATGATTTTTTTAAATGGGAATTTTATTTTTTTTAAAAAAAAATTAATTGGTTTTTATATCCTTCGGAAAAGGAATACATACGAAGGCGTTACAAAATTATATAAAGTATATATATATAAAAAAAATGTTTATTTTAGATATCGCTCGACAAAAGAATAAGAAAAAAGGATGACAATGTTAAATAGAATATTTAAACATAACCAAAAATATATAATATATAAAAAGATATTTAAATTTTGTTAAAAGGAAAATGCGGAAATATATATTAATATTTTTTTTTTTTTGAAATGTATGTGATATCTTCTTTTTTTCAAACAAAAATTTTTTTTTTTTGGTAGTAAAGAAAGTATATAAAATTTAACGAAAAAAAAATAAAATAAAATATATAAATTTAAATTATAAAATATAATTTTTTTTATTTTGTCTTTTCAAAAAAATTCAAAACAAA